GTATTAAAATAAAATTATCTCCTTGCTGGCAAATGTTTCTACACTTTCTTTACTATGTTACTTATTTTACCTAACTGCTTGTGATGGATTATCACTAGGGTTAATAAACAGGAAGAATAAACATAATTATAAATAACAACAATAGCAACAATGGGGGACAGAAAAGAAACAGAGGTGAGTCTTCATTGAAAAATACAAGGAAAGTCTAACATAATTGATAGCGGGGAAAGTACAGAATGAACTGGACAACGTTGAAGCTGCGCTGGTCTACAAAAGAAAGTAACAAAACGGGGACATTTTTAATTCCATTGTAGGAATGTATCAAAGTAAGAATTCTAAACTAGTAATTACGAGAGAAAATTGGCCATGCAAGCAAAAAGGGAGGATTATAAAAGATATTACATAGTGATAATAAGAGAATTTATGAGAGAAAAATGGTTGTAAAAATTGTTCTTGTTGTAAGTTTTCAAATAGAATATTTGGGTCAATATGTATGTTTCACTGTCTAATACAGATGGACATGCTGATAAACCAAACTAAGTCTTATTGTTTCTGAGTACAACAAAAAGCAATTCCTAATCCTACGTAAGAAGAAATAAGAAATTACTTATTGTACAACCTTCGTGTAACAGTCGGGTGATATTTGAAGTAGTAAATAAGGAGAATAAGTAAACCAAAAGATATCAGGAACGGTCCCAGCCAGACTCTGCACTGTAATATATGGATTATCATAGTTTGCAGAGCGAGAAAATAAAAGACAAGCTTTCCTTACCTCCTTCCCTGGCATTTCTGCTCTGCAACTCCTATAATAATCGTGGAATTAAACTGCAAGACGTAGTTTCCATAATGTGCTTTTGCCGACACAACGACATTCCGAGACTATATGTTTGGTCAACAATGATGAATTCAAATTGTTGAGAGTAGGCTACCAAAGATTATATTAGGTTTCCCAGTTAGCTTGCAGACGATGAAATATAAAACATTTACTCGTAAATTTAAATTATCAATTATTATTTGAACAGAACAATTCATGGACGCATCCACTAAAGCACAGAAAAGGCTTCTTCGCAATTAGGAATAGGATGCTTTTGGTCTCTCATAGCATCTGCAAACAACCAAAACGGAATTGAAAGAGCTAATGTAAGAAATTCAATTGAAATAATAATCATTTAAAATCTTGTGGTTTTAAATGCTGATAAGTAGTGAGAAACGATTGTAACACAAGTAAATGATCTTCAATAAATGATAGCGTTTATTGCCCCAAATCGTAGAATAATATTTGTATGATCTACCTGTCTTTTATTATATCTTAGTTATATGCACGACTTAATGTTATTGAGGAAAGTTTTCGTTCTCTTTTGACACCTTACTTTTAACACATTTCTAGGATTACTTTAAGGTATAAAATGAAATAACTCGGTAGAGATTTTAATACACGTGTGTTATAATAACACTAGAAAATAATATGTTGTCCCAAGATTCTCCTTTTGCTGAAGTTCATCTTCTCACGATTTGCCACAATTAGTGTATCAAAAAAGGTGTATCAAAAGTAGTCAAAACAAGCAAACAATCAGTTCTTAGTAAGATATCAAATACTTTTTTACGGTAGTTTCATTTATGTTATTTACTATCATAAACTCCTTGGATGTAGAGAAAATACAAAATCCACCTACACTCAGATATATAGTTAAATCCACGACTGTGTGGTATTCTAAGTTATTATTTTTGAACGTACTCAATGGTACATATAATTTACTTATTAAAACATTAATATAAACAAAAATAAAGAGAAAATGAACTTTCATTAGAAAAATAAAGATTCTAGAAAAATGAATTTAGAAATAATGAGACTCTTAACAACTAGTGTTCACAAAAACTAGAAATGCTAAGGAGAAAATTGACAATAATTTTCAATCATTGTGGAAATCTGCTGATTAATTAATTTAGGAATTCCAAAACCTCGCAGTTTTGTTCTCCAATATAATGATTTGTTATGTAAACTTTTTTCGGGCATTTTGACAAACAAATAGTATTAACTACAGAATTGGAGAAACACTTAAGGAACATGAAAAGAATGCTATACAAAAATGTGAATGATTTGTTGCAAGTGCTGAATCGAACAACAAACGTCAAAATATCTATGGTTTTAATGATGATTACAGCAAATGTCTTTTGTAAATTGTAGCTCCCAAACGTGAGATCTCTTATTTCTTAGGACATCACTTAGAATCAGATCACTAATTTTAAGTCGAAAACAACGTGCTCCTCAAAAATGTACGCGGTAAATAAAAAAATATATCTTTTTACAACGGCACCCAGAACACAAAATGTTAGATCGACACATCTAACACATTCTTCATGTAAAAATTCCTGGACACTGAACGTACGATATTCCTCATTGCAATCTCGCAAGAAATATGACGTACATCCGTTCTGATTGGTGAGTGCTGATTATTCCATGTTATATATTTACTTATTTATTTTTTCTGCTTCGCGAATCATCATGGGGTCACTCGTACGCGCATACCACGGAGACTCACACTGGATTATCGGAGCAGGTGAAAGTTACTTTTCTATAGGGGGAATCAGCATTTTAATCCTGATTCCATTTTTTTTCGTATACCAAACGGTTGTTAGCCCTGGGGAATGGGATGAAATATGTTAATGATGATGATGAAATAGACTCACACATACATAAGAGACCACAAACACACCCATTACCAGGCGAGGATTCGAACCCGTGATCACGGCTATCAGATCGGCGTTAATTATAATGATAATGATTATTATTAATTTCATCATTAATAATAATGATTATTATTATGCTAAATGCTGTAAATTTAAAAATATGGGTTTGCACGTCATATGAGAGAACCTGAAACATGAACGATGTCTTTGAGAAAAATTACCTATGAACTTCCATGCTCAAAGCAATAGTTTTAGTTCGCGGTCAGATAGCATTGAGGAAAAAGTTGCCTACTATCCCCCTATCAACATTTTTCATTTTCCTGGTAAAAGTAATTTTCGTAGTAAAATATACACGGCCTTATTCTCCCAAATCTTAAGGGTTATTCAAGCGCATATTTACTTTCACGTGTGTGTGTGTGTATGCTGAGTTAAAATCGATTTCGAGATTTCGACGGAAATACACGTTTTGGAGTCTCCTTAATACTGAAAAAGTGGTTGTTTTCAAAACGTCCATCTCTCCGTCCGTCTGTGAACGACACTAGCGCCTAAACCATCCGTAGGATTTTTTCCAAATTGAAGAAACGCCTGTCCATCTGGCTCGAGTCGAAGCTTTGAGATTTTGAAATACTTTCTTTAAAATTTGGAGCTACTTTACACGACCCCGGATGTTTTAATATTTTCTCAAAAGCAGCTCCAAATTTTTTGTTTAAATTTCATGTAAGAATAAAGTAACATTTATAAACGTTGCGTAGGTCTGATTTTTATGGTTAACTCAGAATTTTGGAAAATTTCAAAATTATTAATATTTTTCGGTGTTTTCCTACAACTACAAACTTAAAGATAGAGGGTTTTTCTTCATTTAAAATTTGTTCTCATTAAACGTTTGGTAGGTTTATGCTAAATGTACTCTATAAGATGACATAAATGTCATACCGCTCTATTCTTTTGTTTTTAAAAAAATATAAGAGTTAATATTTTTTTACTTGTCTCTCTTGATATTGTCTTGTCTATAATATTAATACTAGGAGCATTTATTAACATTACTGCATGTATGAGTACATGTGCTTTGAATAATGTCAGATAAAGTTACTCGAAAACTCAACCTTTTGCTATGAAAATTAGCTCAAACTTCCGTATTATCAGAAATGCTCAAATGCCATTTTCTCAAAAACGGCTCGAAATTTTCATTCAAACATTTTGAAAGGATAGTGCTAATTCCACTCTTTAATATGAAAACAAAGCTCATTTCGGTTTTTTTTTTGTTTTTTCAAAAATTACACAAATGTATTTTTTTTAATATCCCTTACGCCGTTATTATGCGCATTTCCAGCAATTTGTAAACCCTATTGTTTTTATGTGTTTATGTGCTCCAAAGGATTGATCTTTTTCGGAAACTCAAAATTTTTCCTGTGAAAGACAGCTTCAAATTTTGAATTTATAGTAGCGCTTAAACGCCAGTTTTTTTTAAAAACGACTACAAATTTTTTAAGAAAATTGCCATTTAAGACGAGTTTTTACTGCCCTTTAATATATTAATAATAATATTTCCGTTCTACTATTAGGTAACAAAAAATAAGATTTTTTTTAAATGTACTTGGGCAGTAATAGGTGGCAGCTGGCAAGAGTATGTGGTAAGTCCGAGTAGCTAGCTGAGACCCAAGAAAATAGAAAACTAATACGGGAAAGTCTGTGCCAATCGACTAGTTTTAACTGCAACCCAACAGTCGAAAAACTCTGAAATAAATCCGCACCAACTTTTGTTTTAAGAAGAACTTTTGAGATTTTATTTGGGACTGCTCAAACATTCCAAGACTCAGAAAAAATATTTTTTTGTTATTTTTTCAAAAAAAATCGTTTTTATTTGGTGTTGAGAAAATATCAAAAAATCTGATAATATGAATTATTTTCTTATTTTTAATATTTTTCAATCAAAAAAATTGTATTAAGTTGACGAAAAACAAAATAAGATAACACGTGTTTGGCTGCAAGGGGTGTGGTAGGTGGGAAGGGGGCTAAGAAACCTTTCCACAATATTATCATGTTAGAGTTTAGTGTAAGTACTCATATGCCATTTGGTTTAGGCGCATTTTTTACCATCTCACCCGGGGGCTTTTAGGGATGCGCCGGCGCGCAAGGCCCACTGTGCCAGCACCGCGGTGTCGCGTCATCCTCGCCCGCCCACTGTGCGGGAGAGCAGCCTTGGCGGCGGCGGCGGCGACTGGAGAGCGGGGTGGGGGGAAGCGCGGCGCGGAGAGGGGAGACAACAGCTGAGCCCGGCGGAAATCAATAGGCGGGGGCCAGTGCACGGCTCGGGCGCGAGGGGGCCGCCATGTTTTTGAGGACGCGGGTGTCGCACCGCTCGACCGCTACATGACGGCGCCGACCCACCGCGAGGACGAGGACACCGCGAGCACGCACGAGGACTCCGCCTGGCCCAGCGCCGTCGCGACGCACCGCCGCCGCCGACGTCGCCGCCGCCGCCGCCGCCGCCGTCTCGCCTCGCCACGCCCTGCGCGGGCTCACGCCGGTAAGTCCCCTGGGCCACTTTACACCCCCGTTTCTGATGCCGCGCTCCGCCCGCTACCTGTTGTTGCTAGACCCAGCGGGACCGGGCGCTCCCCGACCCGCGCCTCTTGACCTTGAGGAGCGCAGTGACCGTTGGTTCCGCTTGTCACCGCGTGAGCAGCGATGCTGCAAGCTTCCCGCTTCCGAGCGTAGCTGGGATTAAATTTAGACACGGTGCTTTCACAGCGCTGTAGCTTGCCGCACAGCACGTCCTGTGATGCGGCACCAATCGACCCATCGAAGCTGCCACGGTCAACTGTCATGGCGGACCACCCCAATACAACCCCTACGTGCGTCATCATGTGTACACAAACATCCAATCTCGCTTCGCTGCTTCCGGATAACACTAGCATGATCGATGTCGCTTTTGCCCTCGACATCAATTCTTTGTCGTGTCACCCTTTCTGTGTAGCCGGAAGGCATCAGATTTTGCGCGAGTTTGATGTAAGCAACCATCAGCGCCTCTGCCGGGCTCATTCGTAATGAAGGGGTAGTTCCTAGCCCACACAGTGGGCGGAATACGCATCAAGTCCGCTCCTAAAACTTACAAAAGAGATTGAAAATGTTTATTTGTTTAATTTAAATGTATGTAATTTTGTTTCCTAAGAATACATATGAACTTCCTTCACAATTTATTCAAAATGATTTGTCATTATTAAATCATACATAACTGGATTCCAAATATTTTGTAATTTAAATATTTTCCATCGAAATTAAGGCTAAATACAATTTGTACTGCGCAATTGGCTGCAAAACTATAGTCTCATGTATGTGGCAGCTGTAATGCAACGTTTTTTGTAATACTTATTATCTATACGACAAAAAAGGTTCAATTGTACATTAAGCAGAGCTCCATTAATCCACATGTTTAGGATTTCACACAAACTTTATTTCTGTGATGGAACAAATGAGAATGTTATCTTGGATTCGTATTGTTTAATATCTCGAAAAATTGTAAATTTGTATCTCGATGTAAATTCTGAACGGGGCGATCGAAGAAACTACTATCGCCCGAATAACAAGGACAGAATTTCGTGCGTGACTTTGCAAAACCCTACGTGCTTCCACCCTTGTTTGTGTTAGAGCGAAACACGTGGCGTCGTGGCAGCAGGTGTCGTAGCGATTGGCGATAACAGTAGCTTCCCGAATGACGTAATCGATATTGCTTTCAACTCGGAATGAATCGATGAGCGAAATTATTAATTCTATCGAATATAATATAAAATAGCTGAATAATAAATTAAAATGAAGATATTTATTTTCCGTTTCACAGTCACACACCGTCGAATCGTTACCTTTGGGTACCTTTACGTTCTTTTAATCTAGATGTGACAGATGTAAGTGCTTGTACTACGTAACTATTACTTGTTCAAACTGTGACATTGATAAACAAGACCATTCATTCCTTTTTTGTAATCTAAATGTAATTCCTTACATATTTGAAGCCCAATATTACATGTAACCTTATGAGGGCTCCTATCTCGGAAACGTTCGTTGATTGAATAATACTTTATTACTGTACTAGAATGTATGCCAACATCGTGGTCATTAATATTATTATATTATTAAACAACGGAGACGTTAAATACGAAAATAAAACAACACCCGACAGTAAACAATTTTGAAGCCAATTTGTAGGATTTATATTTAATACATACCAAATAGTCTATGATTTAAAAATGTTATTCAATAAACTGGGTTCAGCACATTTCTGTACATCTTAATATTGCTATGTTATTGAAAATCGCAGACGTTTAATACAAGATTTTTAAAAATTCCTTTAATAAACGCTTTCAAAAGTACTTGTAAAATATTATAAAACATTTGTCATTCACCGTACAAGAGGTTAAAAGACACCATTAAGTTTAAAATTGACAAGCGTGGTAGCCACGCGTAATATACATTGTTTTATCTTACTAGATCGCCTTTTTAACATTTTGATGATTAATGGTATAATATTTAGTTCCTTTAACACATCTGAAATATTACAAAAGCCATTTTATTCACTGGGGGAACTTTTTTTATATTGAATATAATAATAAGCCTCTTAATCTACTCCGAAGTCGTAAGTAAAAAGAATAACAGTGACATTGAAATTGGTTGCGGCAAGAGTGGCGTAATTACGCCAGGCCGAGTGGCGTAATCGTACGAGCAAAAGAAAATCACATGTTTTATACAATATATTCAGTCAGCCCTACTGACTTCCCTTATATATTAATGCAAGTATACAAATAACGTAATGAGGCAGCATGTTATACAAGAAGATCAGGTGTTGCTGATCAAGCGAAATTATTTTGTGTTCTTTGTTTCATTAACAGTTTTATCTGAACATTTGAGCATCGCCTTACTTTTACCACAAGTGCTAAAAATTGAACATTTTGCACGTTGCGCATGCCATAAAGGCAACCGTATTTACTAGTGGCTCGTCATTTTTTGTTGTTGTTTTTGTTGTTGAGAGCCACGCCCCCTTCTGAGCACGGATCCAATACACCCAGGTTTTCCGCGCGATGGCGTTTCTGGCCCACTGTGCGACGGGGCGGGCGGCCAGGGCACGTGCCGCTGGGCAGGTTGGGCGCTGCGGGTGGCGCAACCAGTGCAGGGCTGCGTGCGCGCACAGACTGACTGCGCCGGTCCCCGCTGCTCGGCTCTTCTTTGCGGACCCTGGGCGCCGCTAGCCCGTCTCATGGGATACCACTGCTCGTCTCGGCCAGGAGTGTTTTTGTGAGGACAGCTGCAATAGAACATATGTGGAATGCGCGTATTTAATGAAGTATCTCCTCCATACGTCCATCATACTTCTTCATACGTCATACGTGACGTTTCTTGTAGGTACGTACTCGGTTACCCGTCTCGGTTAGCGTACCGAGCTGTAGTACCCAAGTTTGCGGGTTCAAACTCGATAGAAGCCGTGGGTTTTTATGGGCAAAAAGAATCTTTCCTTCGCCTTTCTTCCTATGGGAAGTAAAGAGGGATGTACCACGCTATTAATTTACTGTATGTGAAAAAAACCTCAAGACTGAAAGAAGCCTTTGAGCTAAATTCAATGTTTTTTGTGGCCTATAAAGACAAAGTCCACACGACCGATTTCGCTGAAATTTTCACATTTCGCTCTTATTAGTATCGGAGTATTTAGAGTGGTTTGAATTAAATCGGACATGCAGGGGGTTGTGTTTTCAAAGTTAATCGATGAGAGGGCCGCTACGCCGTATTCAGAAGACCTTGCTTGAAGTGATCTATGGCAATCGTTTTGAACTACACTCCTCGCTCCGACTCAGATCCAAAGACATCGAAGTTGTCATCTAGAAATCAGGAAGTCTGATCCAAATCGATGACTGTGCACCACATTATTCGACTATTTGATTTTAAACTGTCGTTAATGCGTAGTAAAAGGTATATATGTGTGTGTGTGTGTGTGTGTGTGTGTGTGTGTGTATGTGTATATATGTATTTATTTATTTATTTATTTGATACATATTTAAATTGTAGTTAATCTTCATTGAATAAATTGATTTTGAATATGAATTGAATTGCTCTAATTCTCAGCAATTCCGAGACATTGCCGAGTTCACTGGTGATACATACGAACTCGTGCAAATGTCTCTAGTTTCGTCATGTCGCATTGCATGGCTCCGCCGAGGCGGAAGTATCTATGACCATCTTTGAATACCACGCGCTTTTTTAGTGCGAGTTCTTGGAGGCTGAATCGACATGCACGCGCTTCGCCGAGGAATATGAAGGACAAAATTCATAGCAGACACTGAGTAGAAAAGAGATTCCGGAGAAAAGCTGAATGAGCAATAACATTTTGCTCAAAGAGGAAACGAATCGACGAAATAACGAGTGAACACAGGCATTCTTTGGTTGCGCAGGTTAGTCTAAATAAATCCTGATTATGCGGGTGGAAAAAATGATTGGATTTCTCAATTTGAACATAGCAATGAAAGACAATTTTAAAGGCGGCGCCCAAAATAAACAGCATGTCTTGGGAGGAAACGTTGAAAATTCGAAAATAAGGTTTAAAGACATTTTAAGCCTATTTTGTCTAATACACTACTTTAATATTCTGAATGGTTGAGCCACAATATGCACTCTTAAATTTGGTTTGAAAATATACGTTCTAGGTAAGAATTTGCATTGCTGAAGCATAGAAACATTTCAGAAACATGTATATTTTTTATTATTTGCAAGAGACATGGATATATTTGTTCAGAAAGAAGAAGTAACACCGAAATATATAAAAAAAGCAGTTGAATTGTGTAAGGTGGGAGAACCTTCTGGCGAGAACGAACTCCGGGATTCCAAGAAAGTAATAGATTACAAGGTGTTTTATACTTAGTTTCAAATTGCTGATAATAATATTGCTGGGTATGATAAAACAGCCCGGTTCGTGATCGGTCCCGTTCGGTTATCGTGAAATAATTCTGCAAAGATGTTTGTATGTCTACCTAATTGATATGTTGTGGTGGCAGGGGCGTTTGGAAGTGTTTCGCCAAATGTGTGAAAAGAAAGAAAAAAACATTACACGAATGAGCAATGTTGGTGGAGATAGAGATATGGCAGTATTAGGAAGGCAGCAGAAAACATGGGGAGAAGATATACAGCCAATATCCAGTGGTGAATCTCCGGGATGAAGCGTGAAAAAAAACAGATTTGACAACCTACATAAAACAAAAACAAGAATGGAATTATTTACTTTGTAGCAAATTATTTTAATTATTCATGACGAAACATTGATTATTACTTTCATTATTTGTTACATTTAAATGACTGTATAACAAACTCTTTACATTTTAAAACATGATAATCTGACGTATATTATACAAGGACAATTTTACAATTAATAGCCGACCTACTGAAATACATATTGCACATTCCATTTCCCAAACATATACAGACCTTCTAAATATATAATTCAAAACGCGAACAAATATTCATGAAACATTCGCGGCCGGTATTTGATATACACACTATTGTATTGATTTTCGGTCAGTCGAAACTGGACGGACGGACTGGGAAGCCAAACGTTTCTCAGGTCTGAAAGTAGAGTTTTTGAAACAAGAATGTATAACATCGATGGTGTGTAGGTAAACCCATACAAGATAAATTTGTCAGGAACGGCTGCTGCGTGAGTTATTACAAGGTACATACCGGTGCTTGAAATAATTTTTAAAACGTTAGCCATTATTTATTTATGTCATCCAAGTCTATTCTCGAAAGGCTATTTTTGCTGTATTCAAACGTTTTCATCACAAAATTATTATTATTATTATTATTATTATTATTATTATTATTATTATTTTATTATTACTATTCAAAATATTAAAAATGTATCACGGATCTGGTCAAGGTCTTTTTTCAGGTCACTATCAATATTCAACAGAAAATGGTGACCTATATGCGACGGTATATTTCAGAACTGCAGAAAATGTACCGCATTGCGGTTCACTTGCATTTAAAATATTCTTTTCATAAATAGCAGGCTTCGTTTGGCACGTCACATCCTCCATCAAACATTTATGGAGACGCTACCACGCGCATCCCAAACTCTACCCTGCCCTCTCAATGCTGTAGAAAACAATCTGTCCGCAGTGCAGGAACATCTATTCCACAGCGTATGAAATAATAATAATAATAATAATAATAATAATAATAATAGCTTAAAATATTTTTGGACGATGAAAAACACAAAGATCGCGCTATGCAATAACCCAATAACCCCAAAATTACCCCCTCGAAGTATCGGCTATAAAAAATGGCCTGACAATAACCTGTGTAATATTTTGTCTTATTCTGGCAATATCGCATTGTTGCCAAAAACGCAGGCGAGAATGTTTTGGAGCTGACATTCACATCTAAACTCTAATAGTTACAATTTTTGAATTCATAACACCTTAGTAGAAGAACCTAGAATATTTGATAAATCATTATATTTTATATACAATGTGAATAATGAATTATCATAAGCACATGTACGGCGGTTTTTGATATCATTACCTTAATCAAAGTTTTGGAATCATTGACCTTTAGCTCGATCTGGCAATTTCACTCAGTTTGCTGGCGATCCACAAAAGCTGAAATGGTCCATAATAAGCTTCTGGGTACAGCGTTTATTGACATTTTCTTCACTTACCTCCAAACCGGAAGTACTATTGTTAGAATGTTTGGCGCACGGAAGAAAATAAAAGGGGTTAAAGGGAAAACGGAAACTGGGATAAAGAGTCCTCCCGTGATATTCTTGCCATGATTACATCACAAATAAATTCATCGTATTTTACATTATGTGAGCGAGTTTCGTTAATAAATGTCATTATTTTTGGCCAGTTTCTTCGAACAACGTAATAAAGATATATTTAAAAAATTCAAAGGAAATAAATCAACTCTGATAGTTCTCGAAATACAGTGCCCTATTTATGGGAGAACGAATTCGTCGCGCTCCCTATCTAACGTTACTTTGGAAATTAAATAATATTAGGTTGATCTGTAATAAGATCTGTACTTACAGTTCATTTGAGAGTATAAGTCAACAGTATACTTAGTCTTATTATGTAACTTCTCTTATCTCCATTAACAGTATTGGCGTAGCCATAGTTAGCGAACTTCAAAGATATGCATTTTTCAAAGATATGTATTGGTTCTGTGTTTTCCCTTTCTGAGATAGTGCGATTTCTCGTCCATGAAATGAATAATGAAGGCTGTTTCATGGGGTTTGTGCAATGGAAAGTAATAGTACTGTTTATTTGTATTCCAAAGTTTCGGAAAGTTTATTTCCTGCGTTAGGGTTTATAAAAAAACTATTTTAGAACAAAAAACATATTAATTAATTATATTGGACCTTTAAAAACACTTTTGCGGAGAATATTCTAAGTAGCAATCATTTCTAAGGCTTGTGTCTAGGACACCCTAACCCGGTGTTTATCTCTGCAGGAAGTTCCAAGCCTCGGGAGTTGTCAACAGGAAATGGAAATTTCACAACTCTCGAGATCGTCATAGCTTTATGGGACAGTTACAACACGCATGGGAACTGATATTTCTCATTGTACTTATAATTTCGAAAACATCGATTCTGAACTTTTAAAAAACTGTTTCTTTAATAACTGTCTTAACCATTATTCTGTACACGTGTTAATGTTTCCTTAACTCTTGCTTTATTTTGCTCGTCTTTCCTGTATTGCATCATTCATTAATAAAACGTGAGTAATTTATTTCCATCCCCCCTCATTCATCGCTCTTTTATGCACTTTCACTTTACTTCTTGTTTCCAAACAATGGGTTGTAATGAGCAAGAAGTGTATAATTTGCAATTTAACTTTCTCAGTTACATATCTTTGAAGGTTGTTACTCTCGGCCTACATTACTGAAATTCCAATTGCCGTGATATATTTTTTTTTCCTTTTCAACATTACATGAATTATATATGAAACAAAGATTAAAATTAATCGAATTGTTAGCAATTGAAAGCTTTGTGGAAAGGAATAAATACACACTTATCTGAAATTTGTTTTCCATTATTGATGACGAAAGAAATTGTTTTCGAAAGATTTTCAAAACGTTTCTTGTATTGCTTTCGTGACGTTGGACGGTTCATACAATTTGTAAGTTGTTTATTTAAATGAATTCAGTAAACGACTTCATTTTTACCTATGTTGTCACCTTAAGAATCGGGGTAATAAACAAGCACTTGCCGACATTGTGGTTATACTACGTAGAGTTCTTATTTCTTGACACGCGAGGGCGTGCGTTCACGATGGAAAATCCCACGGCATTTCGCATCTATCTCGGTCGTGCCGCTACATGTCTCAAGATCGCGACCGTATCCAGCAGATGTCTCTTGATCGCCAGCACTGCTCGATACTTTCGCGAACATGCGACATCTAGCGGCACGAACGAGAAAGACGCGAAATGCCGTTAGACATTGCATCGTGAAGACAGGCCCTCACGCGCCAAGAAATAAAAACCTAAGTATTAGCAACCGCTTCCGAAAAGGATGCGGAAGAGGAAGTATGGTGATGTGTTACAAACACTGGCAATCCCTGTTGCACCGTTCCTGAAACTTGATCATTGCAACATATAGCAGCCGCGAAAGAGGAAAATTAGCGGGTGCTTTTGCATATACGGTGACCAGTCGCGTCGGAAGCGTTGAAGATTCGAAGTCCTCGGTTCAAACGCCTTCATCCAGGTTTGGTTGTCCCTACTTCCTTGAACCACCCCCAATAACGTCTAAGAGGTTCACAATTGCAATTTGACAATTGCAACAATACTGAATCACGGGACAAGTAATATGCCCTATTGTTCTAATATTTCCAGTTTGGGAGAAATTCAATCATCATCAATTTCTTTAATGGAATTTTAAAGAGCCGAATTTTAAAGTTACCGAAGATGGGCATAATTTTGTGAGTTCGAAGAACAAGGTGTACTGCAGTAGTGAATTTCCTCATGAACTGATGATTCAATAAAATCTTTATTTTAATGTGTCATTGTAAATACATTGAACATTCACCACCAAAAAATACAGAAAACAAAATGGCACAAAATGACCCAACACATTTATACCACATACAATATATCGTGATAAATATTGATTTACCATGTAGTTACGTCCAGAATGCTCCAATGAAAAGATGACATGTCATCAGAATGCTCATTCCCCTGATCCGACTCCCCACTGCCAAGGCGAGTCCAACCATAATGCTCCCAAGCTGAAGAATGGTCCCGGGAACTTTAAACCCCTCCCCCTTCAACTGCCCTCCACTTTCCCTTGACTTGGGTAGCGGGAGAGGTGGCTCAGGTCATCAATGTCACCGCAGTGCCTCTGACCGGAAGGTCCTAGTTTCGTCCCGACGGTGGAAGGATATACGTTACTAGCTTGTGAACTAGGTTTAATTCGGTGAGAGCGTAGGCTTCCGCGGCCGGAGTCAGTATTTACTAGGCAGTCCGGGTGACGCCACGTCCATGGCGAAGGTGCCAACGTTTCGGTCAACATTCTGCGACCTTCCTCAGGGCGTAATGCATAACGTCGGCACCTTCGCCATGGACGCGGCGTCACCCGGACAGCCTAGTAAATAAATAGGTTTAATTCATTTGCTGTTTGCAGGAGAATTATAGCGGCCGACTGCTCTGAACGTTTTCCGTGGTTTCTTCGTTCACCCCAGGCAAATACCGGAGTAGTTCCCTGAGAAAAGGGCCACGAACAGTTCGCAATCTTTCCTTCCCCTTCCTTGTCCTATCCTCACCCATTACACACACACACACACACACACACACACACACACACACACACCAACATGCATTATACTACCTCGCATGCCAGGAGACTGGTCGGGAGCTTAAAGCTTGTCGCGGCTGGGGAGTTGCCGCGCTAGTGGGAGATACCTTGGTGGGGAATACCCCGCTAGCCGACGGTAGGTCGGCGCCGGATCTCGCCATCAACGTCAGCTCTTGAGGCAAAAAAACATGCAATACACCTACGGCACTAAAGACCTTAGTAGTTAATGCGCCCGGAGTCTCTAACAATCCATCAATCGACGTGGATGACGTCATTTTATGTCAGCGGCAAATCACTTTACTGCGCCCATGTGGCACTTATGACATATCCCTAGGAACAGAATGCTGGGCAGTTCGCGTTAAACGGCAT